TGTTCAATGCTTTAGCAATACCTGTAAATTGTAGGTCATGCCATTAAAGCTATTTCAAACCTCTCTTCTCTTCTCCTCTCCTCTCCTCTCCTCTCCCCTCTTCTTCTCTTCTATTCTGATACCAAGAGCCTCGGTATCATGCTAGAATTTTTATGTATATCTTCGTCATTCTCGTGCCCAAACGATTCTCAGCTTCCTAAAGGAAAATCTAATCTTTCGGTAAGGAGGGTCTGGGTATAAGAATGAACGATTCCCCAAAATAATAGCTATACAGAATGTTATTGCTTTCATCAAGTTTGTTATTGTTTCACTTACCGGAAGAGAAACTCGATAACTCGATAAATCCACTTAAAAAAGGAGCGGAGGTTAAAAAACTCATCAGGAAATTTTACAACAAACAAAAAAACAAAAAAACATTAAGGTAAGCATTAACAAATAGCCGCAGTTATAAGGTGGTTTATATTTTCCTATTTCCAAGTACAATATTCGTACATACAAGGAAATACCACTGTTCGGGAAGCTAGATTTCACGAAGTTATTACTACGATTATATTACAGTACATTTTACTCACTATCTCGCTTCCTATTGATATCATGCCCAAACATATCACGCGCATTCGAGGAAATGGTTTTCAATTCCTTCACTTGTTTGCACTATTTACGTCGGATAAGAAAAAAATTAATTATAGTTGATTTTCCCCGACCTTATTCGCCATTGACTTTTATCTAAATTGGGCTTCCTGTGTTACTCCCTACCGTGAGGCATTGTGCCTTTAGTTTCCAGTTTTCCTCGGTTTCTTTAGCGCCTGGCAGAAATTGTGTGCGTCACAAAACGCTTCCACAAAAGGCCAAATCTCATCTTAAAATATTTATATTTACCTTTTAGCTTTTATTGAAATTTAAACTCTTGGGATTAAAATGGCTGAAAAACTACAATGGCGAGAGGAGGTGGATGAGAAGATGCGTAGTTTGATGGAATGTTTTCAAAAACGCGAAGCAGAGTTGAGTAGATTAGCTGAGCAACTGGCAAAACAACGAAGTGAATTAGACAAGGAGACAGAGAAAAGAAAGCAAGATACGGAACAAGACATAATACAGCAGTACATGAAGCTAGAAGAAGAGAAGAATCGTTTTAAGATGGAAGTCAAACGTATGACAAACGTCTATGAGTTTCAGACGTCTCGTATCCAACTCGATGTTGGCGGCCATAAGTTTACTACGTCGTTACAGACTTTGAAAAAGGATCCAAATTCCATGCTAGCTGCTATGTTTTCTGGAAGGCACTCCTTAGTAACTGAGAATGATGGAAGTTACTTTTTAGATAGGGATGGCACTCATTTTCGATACATATTGAACTATTTACGCGACGATTTTCAATCGGACACTTTCCCTACTGACGAGGTCACCTTGAAAGAAATTCAGAACGAAGCGAGGTATTATCAATTGCTTGACCTTGTGGATGCCATTGATGAACTCTTATACCCTCCTCCTCCGGCTCCTGATTACACACAGCAAGAAATCGATGATATGTTAGCTACAGTGTCCCAGCAATCCAAGAACAACGAGGATGGTAGAAGTAACGCAAGAAATGCTTCATCTTCTATCAGTCCTGGTAGACATGTAGACTTTATATTCCATAGCATGACAAAAARTAATATCGACTTTAGTGGGAAAAATTTGTCTGGTCTTACGTTTGCTCATACAACATTTGCACATAACGTGACCTTTGCTGATGCTTTGTTGATCAACACCTGTTTCTATGGCTGCGAATTTGCGAGTCACATAGTCGTAGATTTCTCAGGGGCTGATGTCTCTGGTGCAGATTTCAGGCAGTGCCGATGTATCAAAGGGGGACTTAATGCATTTGGGGGTCAATCTTCTGCAAGTGCCCAAGGGGGTGGGGGTGGGTTTATTTTTGGTACCAGCTGTTCCAGCTTTGCTCATTTGATTAAGACAAGCCATGTTAAATTTACCAATGCCAAGCACATAGGGACAAAATTTGACCCAACTATCCTTGATATCATTAAATTTTAAATCTATTATACTAAAATGTGCATACTTTATACCAATCATATTGGTGTGTAACCAGGTGACAATATTGTCAGGACTATGTACAAATAATCATTATGATTATTAACAAAATGAATTTAAAAGATTGTAAAGTATAAATGCTGAATAGAAAAAATATCTTATGTAATTGAAAACATTTTAGTATATTATCACTAACAATATCCAGTAAAAAAACATTCTTTTTAAATGGAAAGGTGTTGAAACAACACCTCTTTTTATGGTATGCTGTGCAGACAGGGTATAAATGTTTTATCATATTTAGAAGTTTCCTGAATAGGAAATGCTGCATAACTTCCCTTATCTATGCATCAAGAACAGGCTAGTCAAAAATGATGGTGACAAATTAGCATTGCTGGTTTTCAATCATTCCCAAGAAAATGAAATAACAAAAGATACGGTGGCCATATTGGATAATATAACAAAAGAGAGTAAGCTAATGATGAATCTTTTGTTACTTTATCCAACATTGTGGCTGTGAAAACCATCAATACTGTCAGAGACAGCCAAGTCATTAGTCTTGACTACAAACTGACATATATCTATGCATAGTGAAAAAACTGTTATTACCAAAGATTATTATAACTTGACAACGTTCTAATTTCACTGGTATTGATAGGAGATGAAATCATGCAGCATGTTACAACCAAAATAACATAGTTGACAATCATGCATTAAAATGATTGTAAAAAAACTTACCACATGGAGTCCATGATAATGTTAACGATTTCTCACTTTTTAGTGTTTAAATTCCTCAATTTCACTAACATCTTGGATGCCATTTTTGCTCTCTTACATCAGCTGTGATGGTACAAAATGAGAAGCATTACTGTACTTTTTGATATTCTGCGAACTCTGACATTTTAACGGCTTGTTATGACATTGGTTTTTCACTGCCGCCAGTTAAGAATATATATTATTGATTGCCTGTAGCGGAAAAACAAATACCAGTGTGCAGCTCACAACTACAGAGTTCGCAGAATATCAAAAACCGCAGTAGTATGGTCTGACTGGGTTGTAAGCTCCCAATGGATTTATTTTTACCACCGTCGTGATTTATTTTGCTTTCTAATTGGTTTAGAGCCAGGGGAAATAGGAGGGCATACTGATAAATTACTTCAGCAAATCACGCAAGTGCTTGAAACCCTCAGTTTTTCTTTCAAATTTTACCTGGCTGTCTTYGTAGTAAAATGAAAAAAATTTTGTGGTAAAGAAACAACAATTTCCTCCAGTTTTCCTTGGTATGTCCTCTTATTTACCACTTTTTTTCATCATCTAGCCGTCAAAATATGTTGTGGACTCCCTTGGCTACACCTCGTGAGTCCACGACATTTTGATGCATTTTTGGTTAAATATGTAATGCCATTTTTCCCTATGAGTGGAGGCAAGGATCTCCAATCCTGGGTGTAAGCCTTCATGGTTGCCCTCTGTTTGGGTCCCCTTGCTAAATTCTGGGTTTCTTTTTTTGTGCAGCTTCTTGGTTTCATAGGAGGTAGGGTCATGTGAACTATTAATTCAGCAAGTCCCTAATTATGGGTAGCATGGGTGGTGAAGCGGTGAGAGTGCTCCCCTCTAACCAATGCGACCTGGGTTCGAGCCCCGACGAGCTCGATGTTGTATGTGAGTTGAGTTGTTTGTTGGTTCTCTCTTGTGCTTTGAGGGTTTTTCGGGTTCTCCAGTTTTCCTCCCTCAGCAAAAATCAACTTCTAAATTCCAATTGGAATCCAGTGGAAGAAGAGCCACTCTGTGGAATCCACTGTTAATCCCATTATTATTATTATTATTTATTATCATTAATTTGTATTAATTTGTATTACTAATTTTTTAAAAATCTTATTATTAACCAACAATAAAATTACTCTTAAGTTTGATTCATTATTATCCAAAAAACAATGTTTTCTTAAAATCCGTCGATAACAAAAATGCGTCCTTGATGGGACTTGAACCCACAATCTTTGGCTCCGGAGGCCAACGCCTTATCCATTAGGCCACAAGGACATCCATCGCCAATTTCTTGTCCAAAAACATTCTAAATCCATTATCAGACAATAATATCACCTAGAGCATGATGGGATACGAGTCAAAAATGGCGGGTAGTTTGACGGCTTGTCGTGCTTCGTATCAGTCTTCTTTCTCTTTTACGTAAGATACGACTCTAAAAGTTTAATATCTAAAGAGTGTTCAAACTAGTAGCATCTCCACGATGCGTTTCCGTGCAAAAATAATTGACATATCTTGTATTCAAAGGCTAACACGTAAGTGAACTTTGTAGGATTCAGAAGTTTAGGAATTTTGTCTTCGCGTAGTTTCGAAAAAAACGTCTTTAAGTATGTCGTTTTGTGTCAGAAATTTCGAAAATTGCTGCATTCCTACCTACTTAGCTTCTTTTCTATAAGAAAAGTTAATTGAAAAATTTGAAAGGGATGGCTGATGGATATTTTCAAGATAAATCTGCTTCTCTTCTGCCTGTTATCTGTAGGATTGTCAACTCATCTCTCATAAATGGTTCTGTCCCTCCTTCTTTAAAAACTG